ATCGTGTGGTATTTTATATATTTTTTGAAAGTGGACGAGAATAGGTGACGATACCTTACATATTATTATGGGTTCTTTTGCTAAGCTTAATTTCTTCAAAACAAAACCTCGTGGTCGCCGCGATCTATGAAATATTCATGACACTGTAAGCCATCAACAACATAGTTAAAATGGCCGAGACGACATAAAATCACATTGCACTTTAAAAATACATAAATATTTCCTGCATAAATCGATTAAATCTTAGTTTGCACCTTTTTTCGGAAGCCCTCTGAGACCTGTTCGGGACTTTCGGTCATGCTGCTGCTTTTCTCTTCGCACCACACCATCGTGATTTGCAGCTCTGCCGTTTAGTCCGGTTTTGCCTTTAACTGCTGTTAGATTTGGAGCGAAGTCGTGTTTTTGCGAGTCACCAACATCTGAGGTGGACTTGCTACGAACTCGCATTTTCTTGGTGGAAGCAGTTGGAACGGTCTCCATGATGATGGAAGGGCACACGCGTCGAACTTTTACACACACAAGCCTACAAGAAGCTGCTCAACTTAAGCACTCTTTCATTCACGTGCTTCTAAACTAGTGAGCTCTTCAATATGGAGGACTAAGGAAAGTAAAAAGTGTTATTTTCTCCAGAAGTTCTCAGTTCACATTCACAACGTTGTTCTAAAAGATGTTTGTGTTCGTGCTGCTCTGGAAGTCAGCTGACTTGAAAACACCGTTTTGATTGGCTGAGTCTCCATGAGGTACGTAGACGGAGCAAACACCGGTGCGGGAGGGGAGGGATGCYACACAAGACCAGAGACATTTATATAGACTATCGGGGTTCTTTGTAAATACGTAGCAAAAGTTTTAAGTTAGTTCTTATATAACTTTTATAATTATTCTATATTTAGTTATTTCTTTAATATTTTTAAATAATGTACAATAGTTGAACTACATGGAAACACGCATGATTCTCAGTGACTTCTGAGACACCGATTAATGTGCGTATAAGCACGAAACTAAGAGTCAAAAGAATGCCATACGTGTTTCCTTGTAGTTCAACCGTTCTAAGTTTTGCTCTGCACTAATGTTTATTGAGCACTGTTCAATCGCGTCAGCTACAAATTCACTCGGATACCAGGATATATTTTATAGACCCTTTATACTTTGCAAACAAGAAGAGCTCGTTTCTGATTGGTTGGTTTAGCATTGAGTTTTCCTGTCAGTGGTAACTTTTACTTCATTTAAAACCTAAGGTTTTTTAGGTGTTATAAAAGCTGTTTTAATCAAGTCTTTCAATATTCTGAAATAGCTTTMAAAATAATTTTGTGTGCAAAGCATACAGAGGTGATACTACTTTGTCTTTTTAAGTGGCCATTTTATAATAATTCAACATAAAACAAAATAACAAATTATACCATTTAATAAAATATCTTATAAAATTGTTATAATTTATGCTGTGTCATGCAATTTGGTAAGCATAACGAATTCTCATATATTTACAGTTGCTGTATGAATAGAAAATTTAATAGATATTGGGGCGTACAGACATTGATTTTATCTTTGAGTGTTGAAAAGATCTCTCAAGTGAGCATAGCTATAAAATTCGTATCTCCAAGTRACCACGTAGTATTCTGTTTATCATATAATTACGTATGAAAGCAAATTGCATAATATACATTTTTTTCTTACTTCCTCAAATGGACCCTCAAATGTGTTATTTTCACAACTATAAGTGAAAATGTCGACTTTACGTAATGGGGAAATTTTATACTAGATAATTAGATGATATATACAAATTCTCATAATTTAATTTTTATAATTTTATAATACATATATTGGAGATCAAAAAAGTGATTTTAAAACATAATTTGCTTTCATGGATAATTATATAATAAATAGAGGATATTACATGGGTGCGCAGAGATACAGATTTTATCTTGGAGTGTTGAAAAGATCTCTCACAAGTGAGCGTAGCGTACATCTTTTTTTCTTACTTCACTATAATTATAGAGAAACCTCGAATGTGTTATTTTCACTAGTGAAATAATATCAACTTTATGAAATGGAGAAATATACTGTTTCATAGAATAATTATATGATAAACAGAGTATTTCATGGTTGCTTGAAGATATTTATTTCATTTCTCTTCCCATGTGAGATCAATGCTTGGAGATAAAATCTGTATCTCAGTGTGCCCATATAATTCTTTAATCCTTAATTAAAAGAACAATATTTCTTGAGGTAGATCGAATCATTGTGGTCCAGGTTATCATTCATCCAATGAAATCATTGATTGAATAAAAGCCTCAAGGTTTGTATTATTTGTTTATAAAATCATTGAATAAAATTGTACAATTTGAAATACAACTTTTAAAGATAAATACCACTCCTCTAAGCCCATCAAATTGCACAATTTTATTCAACCATATTATAAATGAGAAATCATATCATAATTYATTCAATGCACATCAGTCACTGCTAGCTGTCTTCTGTGATAGAYAAACTCTTTAAGTCTGCTAATCTTTGTTGTAATTGCTGTTCTTGTTCTTCAATAGTCAAAGATTGTGATAAATGGTCCAGTCTACTTGTCAGATCTGTAAGAATCTGGACAGCTTCATTGTAGAACATAGCCTGTGTAAGAACATATGGAGTTTACAGTTTATCATACTTGTTACTATTATATGTGCAGGTAGACATTCTTTAGATTAATGATTATGCTGCAATAATTGTACATCAACACAAAAAGAAGATAGACAGTCATTCATCCATCAGATGTTACCTCAGATCTTATTAGGGCCTCAAAGGATGGCTCAAAGTATGCCAGTCTGCCATCGGTCAGTAAAGGAAGCTCCTGAATAAAAAAGAACAGTCAAAAACTTTGCTCACATTTCTGGTTTGTGSCATAGTAAAAATCTTTTGTTGTACTTCTTTTGTGCATCTTTTGTACATATTTTGAGGTTGAATGAGGGTTGAATGAGTCATGGCCGTGCACAATGTTGTTTTACAGACGATAGAAATTGCAAAATGACTAAACATAAACACCCTCTATGAGATTCTGAAATGGAATATTTAAACATTGGTTTATAACAACATTTTTTTGTGTTTGAAGAAAAAGTCAAAAGAATAATTTTCGCTCTGTTCATTCAGATGTGACCAGTTTGGCTAAAACAATAGTTAAACAAAAGATTGTGCACGGTCACACTTGGAAAAAAAGTGCACAAAAACCTAACAACAAAAGGCTTCCTAACCATTTTCCTCTACAAACTATGTTTGTGCAAAGTAATAAGGGTCCAAGGCATAGTCCACCTCTCCCATATTTTCATTTGTGATGGCTGCAAATAGTGAATAATAAAAAGCCACTAAGGTGGAAATAATTGTCACAGCATCAACTTATATTTGTAAGAAGWTATATTTGTAAGAATAAGGGTTTAAGGTGTTTCATAGTGGTTGGCACTCCCGCGCACCTATCATTTTTAAACGGCCGTTTAACCAATGCAACTTAATCAAACTCGATTTTCTTAAAATAAACAGGCAATGTTGTACTTAGTTGGAAAATTTAAAAACATGTATTTTGTTTTAATTTACTGCAAAACTAGCAGTTTTTTGGTAGAAAGAAAGAACTCAAAGAAAACTRTTTTCCCTCCAATTTCGATGGCACCTAGAAAAATCAAAAGTACTGCGTTTAACTGTAGGTTATAGCTAATAATATATCTCAAAATCATGGAAATTCTTCTAGCCGATTTTGAGAAAAACGATTAAACATGTATATGTGTTGCGTTTTTGTGCTTTGACGAAGACGCTTACAATCGGCCCATATTCATGATAAAATTCCAATGCCTGAAGCTCAATCTCACAGCAAAAGACTTGTTTGGCTTATAATGTACAATGCTGTACAAGTATAAAGT